CTCTCTTGGCATATCTGGTACTCCACTCACTTGGTTTGCTGATTACCTCTCAGGCCGCTTCCAGCAGATCAGAGTTCAAGGACATCTCTCTCCTGCCGTTTCTTGTTCTCGTGGTGTCCCACAGGGCAGCGTTCTTGGTCCCCTGCTATTTGTCTTGTACACTAGCACATTGAGCACGATCCTGCCACCGGCGGTAAACCACCAAGAATTTGCGGATGACATTACTCTCGACTGCTCAGACACCGACCCCACTGAAGTATGCCGAACCCTCAGCCACGCAATCACAAGCCTCGCCACGTGGCTAGAAGATATTGGTTTGCTGCTGAATGCAGCAAAACTCAGCTTCTCTTCATAAAGCCCCGTGGCGCAGATGACACACAGCCTGAGGTGTTCTGCCATGCTGACAAACTTGCTATCACACCTTCGGCTAAGTATCTCGGGGTAATACTCGATGAGGAGCTGTCCTGGAAGCCCCACATTGCACACCTGAGCCGCAAGACTGCTAGGACCATTGGCCAGCTATGGAGGCATGGCCAAGGACTCAGTTTGCGCGCCAGACGCACTTGGTTCCTCAGCATGGTCCTCTCTCAGCTATGCTATGGTTCGAATAGCTTTGTTCCTGGGCTTTCTGCCCAGTTGCTTGGACGTCTGGAGAAGAGTTTCAAAGCCGGCATTCGTGCAACCTTGCAACAGCGCTTTCTCACCCCCACCGCACCGCTTCTGGCACTTCTTAGTATAGTCGGCCTGGCACACACATACACTCAGAAAGTTCTAATCTTTGTACACCGCTGTATCAATGGATACTGTAGCCCACTCCTACAGCAACTCTTTACAACGACTGCTCCAAACACCGTGCTAAACGATCAGCGCATCACTAGGGGCCAAGTTTCCAACTTGTTCCAAGTCCCTTTCCTTCGCGGGCCTGCTGGTCGCTCGAGTATGATGTTTCACGGCAGTATCGCATGGAACGCCCTCTCGGCTGATGTAAGATCGATAACTGCTGCCGATCAATTCAAGAGAGCCCTATCTGATATTGACGTACTTAACTTGTAAACTCTATGCCAACAGTCCAACACCCCTCGCCGTACTTCATGTTCCCTGGACTGCTAAAAAGTGTCCCCATCCAACAAAGTCTGCCAATGTTCACACATTATATTCTCATGAAATGCTTCCACTACATTTTATTTGTTATCACATTATAAAAAATTCACACAAATTGAGTGTCAGCATACACACAATGTCATAACAAACATTTCTATAATAATAATCATACCGCTTGCATGTCTTTATCTCTATACATTTCCTCATATAATTTTCTTCATCTTTCTGTGAGAACCGGACCTATAGGCCGGTAAGAAGGCAATCATGCCTGTGCAATTGGTGAAGTAAAATAAAAGTCAACAACAACATACTAAATTAGTGGACGTCATCATCTTCTTCCGGCTGATCTTAAAATGTACTATGACGTGCTATTTCGCCTGACGCACACACACACACACACACACACACACACACACACACACACACACACACACACACACACACACACACACACACACACACACACACACACACACACACACACACACACACACACACACACACACACACACACACACACACGCACGCACATACACACACACACACACACACACACTTGAACACACACGCACACACACACACACACACACACACACACACACACACACACTTGAACACACACACACTTGAACACACACTCACACACACACACAATTGAACACACACTTGAACACACACACACACACTACATGTGGTTTAACCAGCTATACAATGGTGTTGAGAAACAAAAATCAGTCTAGGAAGTTTTGCTTGCGCTTGCTCACCAGCACCACCTCAGGTGTACCAGCACATTGGCAAAAAAACAGTACCTATAGTCCAGTCATCGGAAGCAATCCCGCTGGCTTTTGATAGTTCGATTTGGGCCGAATTGAGGATCAAAAATTCAAATTCAAAATTCTGGGTTTGGGATCTGCTTCTCCATACATTTCGCCATGGCATACCTGTCCGACACGAACACATGTGTACTGTAAATATACAAAATTTCGGCCCTGCAAAATTTCGGCACTTCACGATTTTTGACATTTCGGCGGCGATTTATTTTCGGCGTGGGGTAGAGGGCATGGTATAGTGCGACAGATGCTGTGAAAAATTTCATCGGCGTTTTAATTTAGGCGTTTTGGGTCGGTGCCGAATACAGCCGAAATTAAATAGCTGCCGAAAATTTGTATATTTACAGTACATGTTTTTTTTGCCTATTCTGCAGTTGCACGCGTGTGTTCACCTCATTGGCTGAAAACGGAGCGTCTCTGTAAGTTTGTATCCCTGGTGATGGTCGTGCCTGGAGAGCACTATATAAGTGGTGCTCTTCAGGCACAATCTTCCTCAGCCTACTCAAGCTCAACTGATGAGGGGTGAATTCCCCGAAACACTGTGTATTGAGCAGGGAGTGGTGCTTTCTTGCAGGTTTGCCGAGTCGAAGGTTCGATGGACTTCTCGTGTGCTCTGGATGGCAGTCGTGAGTCAGTCAAGTGTCAAGTAAAGTCGGCGGAATAGCGCGAGCTCCGGTGTGGGGAGCAAACCCTTTTCTTACAAATCATCGCCGAGGTCGCAACCACTACTTCGTACTGTTGTGCCCAGCGCGGGCTTGCGACTAGTTGGTTTGGAGGTGACAGCGTTGCGAATGACCGAGGGTCCTCGACGTCTGTCTCACCGTTCAGGAGCGACACTGACTCACGCTGCTATCTGGTGCTCACGAGGTGTTTGTCGCGCTGAAAACGGAGCGTCTCTGTAAGTTTGTATCCCTGGTGATGGTCGTGCCTGGAGAGCACTATATAAGTGGTGCTCTTCAGGCACAATCTTCCTCAGCCTACTCAAGCTCAACTGATGAGGGGTGAATTCCCCGAAACACTGTGTATTGAGCAGGGAGTGGTGCTTTCTTGCAGGTTTGCCGAGTCGAAGGTTCGATGGACTTCTCGTGTGCTCTGGATAGCAGTCGTGAGTCAGTCAAGTGTCAAGTAAAGTCGGCGGAATAGCGCGAGCTCCGGTGTGGGGAGCAAACCCTTTTCTTACAAATCATCGCCGAGGTCGCAACCACTACTTCGTACTGTTGTGCCCAGCGCGGGCTTGCGACTAGTTGGTTTGGAGGTGACAGCGCTGCGAATGACCGAGGGTCCTCGACGTCTGTCTCACCGTTCAGGAGCGACACTGACTCACGCTGCTATCTGGTGCTCACGAGGTGTTTGTCGCGCTGAAAACGGAGCGTCTCTGTAAGTTTGTATCCCTGGTGATGGTCGTGCCTGGAGAGCACTATATAAGTGGTGCTCTTCAGGCACAATCTTCCTCAGCCTACTCAAGCTCAACTGATGAGGGGTGAATTCCCCGAAACACTGTGTATTGAGCAGGGAGTGGTGCTTTCTTGCAGGTTTGCCGAGTCGAAGGTTCGATGGACTTCTCGTGTGCTCTGGATGGCAGTCGTGAGTCAGTCAAGTGTCAAGTAAAGTCGGCGGAATAGCACGAGCTCCGGTGTGGGGAGCAAACCCTTTTCTTACAAATAATAATAATAATAATAATAATAATAATAATTTGAAACTCGGATGTTCAGCCATAAATAAATGTGGAAGAGAAAAAGACATATGGATACGAGTTAAGAGTAACTCTCCATCACTGTAACATGATACTATATACAGTCAGAAAGTGCAATAACTAGGCACAAAACTGACAGAGTAGCTAGGTGTCAGGACGTCGAATGTTTCAGTACTCTGTCAGTTTTGTGCCTAGTTATTGCACTTTCTGACTGTATATAGTATCATGTTACAGTGATGGAGAGTTACTCTTAACTCGTATCCATATGTCTTTTTCTCTTCCACAATAATAATAATAATAATACCTGTCCTAATTTTCTAAAACCTGGTTAAGTTTTTTATGTCCCTGTTCTTGGACTTTTCTGGCTGCTCAAATGTGGCAAGGAGTAATTGCACGGGTCACACATTACTGGTCGTGCTGTTGTTTTCATGAGATCTACAATCTACAGTTGCGCTCACTGAAATCCGACCCAAAGTGCAAAACTGGCGCCCTGGACCAGTTCCGATTACATCATTGTATGTGTACATGTGTACACCCAGCCGCATTCGTGCCACTTCCAGGGCGTCAAGGGCCGTGCTAGTTGAGGGCGCCTGCTTTGCACTTTGGGTCGGATTTCAGTGAGCGCAACTGTACATTGTATGTGCGGGAGACATCAAAAGGTTAGGGCGCCAGTTTCCAATGAATGAACAGTAACGGCGGTGGGGCAGCCAACTACAGTCGACTCCTGATGTAACGAACACTGTTGTGCTGGAGAATTAGTTCTTTATAGTCGAAGTTTGTTACAACAGACATGAACTTACACTGTAGGTTCAAACTGGGACGTGGACAACGGTTCGCTATATCACGAAATTTGCTATTTGCGAGTTCGTTATAAGTGGAGTCGGCTACCGTAATGTCGCGTGCATAAGCCGGATTTGTGCATAAGCCTGTCTCGTGTAGAAGCATGAAATCTGCAACAGCTTTTCGCGTACAAGCCTGTCGCATGCATAAGCCGGGCCAGTACACGAGACGCGCCACGTGTCGCATGCGTAAGCCGGGCTACTACGCAAGACTGGTGAGCGCGCCTTTTACATGTTCATGTTTGCATGGTACCGTACACTTGCGAAAAAAAAAGAAAAAAAATCCCGTTGGAAAATGTTGGTTTTGACGTCCAAAAGTCAGCAGTTTGCGCATACAAGCCTGGTCATTGAGTGGTGCTTGTCATATAAGCCTGTCTCGTGTATAAGCCTGTCTTGTGTACAAGCCTGACTCCATCACCGGCTTATAGGCATATAAGCCCCGGCTAATGCACGCGACATTACGGTATATGCAGAAATCCATGCGGGGTGTGAACCACAAAATGGCACTTGAACAATTGAACAATTGACAGAGCTTACAAGCTTTTAATGGGAAGGTTTGCTGTGGAAGTGGAAGAAGGAACTTGAAAAGCCGAGGCGTTGATGATGGTTAAGACGTTTCCGTTCAGATCTCTGGACAAGCGAGCCAGCAAGCGTGCATACAAACATACACACACACCTTAGACCTTAGACATGCCCATCGCGGAAGCGATGGTAGCGAACAGCTATGTTAGACATAGCGACTTGTGCTGGGATTACACCATTCAACAGCTTGCAAGGCTGATGAATTGACCGCCACTAATTTTTAGCCTGGTATCCACCACGCAGCTGATTGAAGTGGCTTTTTCTGTCCAGTGAATCCCTATTTTCATTTTTCATTTTCTTTACACACACACGCCACACCACATACTCCGGCATACACTGGCTGTTGGTAACCACCCAGGAGAATGAAAGAAGAGCTAGAAGAATGAGAAAGAGAAGAAAGACGTGTGCGACCATAATCGTCGGGAATTGAACCCGCAACCTTCCGATTGGAAATCGACTGCACATACCACTGCACCATATGGGACACACACACACAGACACACACACACACACACACACGCACACACACACACACACGCACACTCACACACGCACACACACACACACGCACACATGCGCGCGCGCACACACACAGAGTATTTTCGAGTACAAGGACAAGTTCCTAGATACAGACGGGAAGCAACAGCTAACTGAAATAAATACATACTCGTCTGCCTCTCACACCAGACGAAAATACAAGATACTTTTGAAACTTTGGAAATTTGACGCACTGCACTGTTGACATCTGTAGACATCTGGCAGGTTTTATTGACATGAACTAGAGAATTCCATGTTGCTTCAAGAGCAAAGAATCTTGTCCTCACCATCTGGCACGTGCTCTCATCTCCGACCTCTCCCACAAATGAACCGAAAAGACAAAGTCTTCTCTCCCAAGATCTTTTAAAGCCACAAATCAATTTTATTGCGCTTGAAAGTACATGGTTGCACTCGTATCCACCATCGGATGGAGTGCAAGGGCTAGAATATAGTCATTGATATGCATGCATAAAAATTGTTGACACTCGTTTTGGGCACTAACGTTAGAGAGGTTCGGCTACACGTTTTTTTGACCAAACTCGACGTGTAGACCTATCAACTGGGTTCGAGGATAAAAAGTATGCGGTCTGGAGCTCACGACTTGACTTGAATCTGGCGATCTACATGGATCGCGCTCCGCGAAGATTTTTTCAAGAACCTTCGGTCTGCTCAGCACTCGACTGTGGGAATAAGGAACACCATTACATCACTGGAGAACACCATTACATCACTGGAGAACACCATTACATCACTGGAAAACACCATTACATCACTGGAGAACACCATTACATCACTGGAGAACACCATTACATCACTGGAGAACACCATTACATCACTGGAGAACACCATTACATCACTGGAGAACACCATTACATCACTGGAGAACACCATTACATCACTGGAGAACACCATTACATCACTGGAGAACACCATTACATCACTGGAGAACACCATTACATCACTGGAGAACACCATTACATCACTGGAGAACACCATTACATCACTGGAGAACACCATTACATCACTGGAGAAAACTCCGCAAAGTACAAACATGCGAAAAGACAAGGCACGTGCAGCTGTCGAAGGTTTCACTTCTGTTTTTTCTGTGGCATGTGAAGGATGGCGGAACCTAGTCTAGCTCCGGATTCTCCACTGGCCCTGGACATCCTTGCATCTCCAGTGGCCCAGGGGAAGAAACTCCAACTCCGTTTCAGACTGGCTGATGATGTGGCCTTGCTGACACAGGTGGCAGCCAGGGACCGGCCATTTAAATTCAACAGCAATGTTTGGTCGGGTGTGTTGGAAATCCATGATTGAAGACAGCAAGCAACAAGCTGAAAAAAACTGGAACAAAAACCACAGTCTGCGCTTGAGTAAAATCAATTATTTTGAACCAATGATCGATATCCATGATACCAAAAACCGAGCTGTCGATGTCGCCATTTTGGTTGTCCTGGAGATGCGGCATTGGCTTGCCACAACGCGAAGCCGAATCAAACTCTGCGCCCGCGTAGCTTTGCAACGTGTGGCCAACACTGTCGTCACGTACGCGTGCGCGTTAATTGTAGCCGAACCTCTCCACTATCGATTGCACTCTCTTAACGGTCGATTTGCGAATAATCAGTACAATCTACTCAGCCCTAATATAGAATGTCATATACACCCATACTTGTAAGGGGCCGTCCAAGGTTACCAATAGTATTTTCAAAACGAAAAGTTTTTGTTTGGGGGTGGGTGGGTTTGAAGGAGTTTCGTTTTGAAAATAATTATTGAATGCAGATGGAGAATGCCCAGTTACTTCTGGGTGTCGAAAATTGACATCAATATTTTATTGGAATTCGTTTTACCTGCAGAAAAGGTAGGTGGGTGGGTGGGTGCCGAAAAATACTAAAGCTTTTCGTTTCGCAAAAACTATTGGTAACCCCGGACGGCCCCTAAAGTTCAATGTGATGTAAATCACTTTCCAACTGTTTAACCCACAATCTCACCTTCTCATAAATTTATCTCTTATTGGCGATGGTGCCAGTGTGAGAATAAAGAATTCAACAATTCAATTCAACACAGGGGCGCTGCTGCACTTACAGTGTCTGTAGAACGGTTGTGAATTGGAAAGCGTTGCTGGGCAGGGTGGCCAGCAAATTCATACTCAGGTTACTGTGCAGATAGAAGAGCACGCGAGGAAGCCAACATTGCAAGTCGACTGACTGACACCGTGTAGAAACAAGTACTATCAAGAGTACATAACCCTCCCAGAGTGTGCAACGCCGATCCAGCTCTGTGTAGGGTCTTGGTCGAGCGGAATCGGATCTTCTGATGTCATGCGTACACTTCACACCAGCGCAAGGCCGGTCTCGAGGCAGGGCACCATTGTTTTTGATCCAAGAGTACCCGCGACTCCCCGGGTTCCCCTCAGATGTGTACGGTATTATGACGCAAAGATCCGATTCCGCTCGACCAAGACCCTATGCAGAGCTGGATCAGGCGTTGCACACTCTGGGGGGGTTATGTACTCTTGGTACTATTACATGTGTGCAGTTTGCGTTGCCCAGCAGCAAGCTGTGCTCATTTCGGAGGGGAGGGAGGGGTGGGGGGGGGGGGGGGGGGGGCTGGTCGGGATGGGTCATGTAGGCCGTATGTCACATTCCTTGTGCACGTACTGTAAAAGCCATGTAGACTGTCAAAGCCATTATTCTAACGAGGCGCATATATAACGATTTCCCAAAATTGACTAGTTTACGTGTACCAAAGGTAACGATTCTCACTCATTCTCAACGCTCAATAGGACGGTACATGTATCGATTTCTGTATAAAGAATTCTATTTTAACGACAGATTTCTCCTCGTTAACTCGTTAGAGTTAGCACTTCGTTATATTATGGCTTTTCCAGTAGACTGGAAAGTGCCTAATATTCGCGACGGACTAATGTTCGCTATTTCCGCTAGAAGAGCGTAACGCGAATATTAACCAGCGTGAAATCAAGCTTCAGCAGTGCGTATATGTAGGTGGCCCCGGTGCTTCGCGAACTTTTGCCATCGTAAACATGCTGGTTCTAAGAAATCGCGAAAATTTAGTGACGTGAATATTGGGCGTTTTACAGTACAACGAAGTGCTAATTCTAACGAGTTAACGAGGAGAAATCTGTCGTTAAAATAGAAATCGTTATACAGAAATCGATACATATTCTGTCCTATTGAGCGTTGAGAATGTGTGAGAATCGTTACCTTTGGTACGTGTAAACCAGTCGCTTTTGGGAAGTCGTTATATATGCGCCTCATTAGAACAATGGCTTTCACAGTGTGGCATGCAGTGTGCAGTCAATCCGTGCTCAGTTCACCCTGGAGCTCCACACAATAATAGGCTGAGATTGATCTTAGTACACGACGGTTCTCACACCATACAAGCCTACATGCAGATGCAATCTGTTAGGAAATTTGTTACAGTCTGGCCTCGCTTAGCCGCACACATCTGTTTTCCACAAAAAAATATCTGGATAGGCAAGGTAACCGGATAACTGAACACACATACTGTATATGCATGTGGCATGTCAAAAGCAGTGACATCGTACATACATGTACCGTAAAGTACCGCCAGAGCGCCCCACCATCTCATCCTTTTGTGGTCGTATTGTGGAGGTGGTCTGCTGTGGTCATACGACATGAACCTTGTACACATATTGCACGTTTTGCAGTCAATCCGTACCTTCAAGAGGACACAAGCTCCACACAAAAACCTGCCAAGTGTGACCTTAGTACACTACGATTCTCACATCGTACACACTTCGTTGCACTCTGCCATACGATTTTCCTTTCTCTGGCTGTAAAATCAAGGTGGGGCGCTCTCGCGAGACGGGGCGCTCTGGCGGTACTTTACGGTACATGTAGACAGGTCCTATGCAGTACAACTAGCGTGCTCAGTATGTAAAACAAACGAGAAAAATGACAAGTGCATGCAACTGAGTGCTGTCCGCATGCACCCAGCAGGTCAAGGACCTCATTTGCTTGTACAACTTCCAGATACTAGCTTCTGCAAGCCACATGCAATTGCGCAACCGGACACGACGAAGCTTTTTGTACACATTTTAACCAGTTTGTACACAAAATCATGCACCAGTATGCGGATCGCGATGTCCGGTTATGTTGTATGCATAACATATGCTGCACATCGGTGACCAGTGATTTTCTTCCGGATGGCGAGGAATCCGGATATATGAGGACTGGATAAGCGAGGTCTGACTGTATCCTGGCTGCAAAATCAAGGCGGGGCACTCTCGCGACACGGGGTAGTCTCGCGAGACGGGGCACTCTCGCGAGACGGGGTGCCCTCGCGAGACGGGGTGCTCTCGCGAGACGGGGTGCTCTCGCGAGACGGGCTGCTCTCGCGAGACGGGGCGCTCTCACAAGACGGGGCAATTCTCGCAAGACGGGGTAATTCTCGCAAGACGGGGTAATTCTCGCAAGACGGGGTAATTCTCGCAAGACGGGGTAATTCTCGCAAGACGGAGTAATTCTCGCAAGACGGAGTAATTCTCGCAAGACGGAGTAATTCTCTCAAGACGGAGTAATTCTCTCAAGACGGAGTAATTCTCGCAAGACGGAATAATTCTCGCAAGACGGAGTAATTTTCGCAAGACGGAGTAATTCTCGCAAGACGGTGTAATTCTCGCAAGACGGAGTAATTCTCGCAAGACGGAGTAATTCTGGCAAGACGGAGTAATTCTCGCAAGACGGAGTAATTCTCGCAAGACGAAGTAATTCTCGCAAGACGGAGTAATTCTCGCAAGACGGAGTAATTCTCGCAAGACGGAGTAATTCTCGCAAGACGGAGTAGTCTCGCAGTGCTGTACAGTACACTAAATCCTGTCAAGGCTACCACTCGGATAAGGCGACCACCTGTCTTAAAAGACCACTTAATCCAGGACTAAGGGGTGCGTTTTCCAGTGAAATGACCATAAGGAGACCACCTGGTAACAGAGACCACGTTTTGAAGGTCTCTCGAGCAGTCGTCTTAGACAGGTTTCACTAGCGAGTCTCTCATTTCAGAAATTTTAGATGCTCAATATTTTCGGTACGAGTGCAAAAGGCCAGGATAGGTGAACAGATATTATTTTTAGTTACAGAGGAGCAATTCCCTATTGGATTATGTGTGTTTGTGTTTGTTCGGTGCATTGAAATTTTAGGTATGAAACAGACGCGCCGAAAGTACCGAAAATAAAAGTACACGGAAAATTTGTGAAAATACAGCAGCCTATAATCCTATGTGACTGGAGGAATCGAGAGAGCAGACTCGAGCATGGAAGACCATTGTGAAGTGCATTGAGGGATCATCGGGGAGTGCGAGCAGAGAATGCACCAGCAAATAAAGTCTGCATTTACTTACATGGTTTTCACGCTGCCGCCGATGTCTTGAAAGTGTTGCGGCACAATGTTTTCAATGAAGTTGTCGGACAGGTCCCTGTAAACACACAGTGACACATATTGACTCAGATGGTCAGCCAAGAAAACACATTGATGAAAGCAAGGAAAACAGAACTTGTACCCCTATTTCTGTTGCTGTCTCTCTGCTGCTATTTCAGTTGCCATCAGGTCTCCATGGAAATCGAAGTGCACCTTGTTAACACCTTGCCTTTTTCACGCATTCAACATCCTGAGCAAACTGCAGAAGGCTGAGAAAGGCCCTCGCTTGCTACGAGAAATGCACTATGAAACTGCTCTTTGAAGATGAGCATTGCTTGAGAACTGATTGTGGACATAGCCGGTCTACAATCAGGCGCCCATGCTACCTGGCCTCAGAAACCCCCGATGATGAAAAAAGAAAAGAAGTCCAGCACTTGCTTTCAAAGTGAGCAATGTCAGAATGAAGCTGGTGAGAATGACGAACATACTTTAAACAATACCTTTGCTAAAGCTGCAAACAGTGACCGTGTCGCTCTGCAGCTATTTTCACAGCTAAGGTGGGAATGTCATCTCCAGGGGAATGCACATCAAAAAAAGGTGGCAAGGGAGTAACATTGGTGCGAACAATGATAAGAAGACTCCCTGCACACCTGAGAGCCACATTGTACACGCACACGCATCACACGCATCTGGTGTTGGTGCAGGAATGAGAAGGCGAGATCAGTTCACGTCCGGCTTTCTCGCACCATGACTGGCTTTACGCAACCATGTGTTAACGATTTCTGATGATACTGCACGCTTCAAATGTTTGTTTGTTTGTGTATTTTATTTAACTTCACCAAGTGAACAGGCATTTCTGCCTTCTCACCAGATCCGGAGACCTAGTTATGACAAAATGATGAAGAGTAAATGAAAATGTATGTATAAAATGATTAAAATAATGCAGAAGGTTATAATTATGAAAGCGGATAAAAAGGATTGAATCACGAGACATGGAGCATGAATTTTATGGAGTATGGACACAGAGCATGCAGAATCACCTCAGGTGACAGATGGATGCATGGCCTGATGTCAAGACAAACACAATGAGCAGTCGGACGTCCCTACACACGCACAGACTGTAATCCCTGTGCACCCAGTTTAGTACAGCGTCCTGCCGATTCTAGTGCTGGCCAGCACAGCTATCAGGAATGGTTCTACACTCAGAACGACTGAGTTGATGTTGTTCTCCCTGAGCCAGTGGAATGCCATGTTTACAGCAGCATTGGCAACACCTCAGGTGTGCACAACAAACGCTCGGTAGACACAAACTCTTCATATTCACATCGAAGGCCGCACACGTTTGACAACCACAACTAATACTTAGGCGATCAACAATCGTCCCTGCAGTCAAAGTCGCTCCAGCGGCAGTAGCGTGTTGAAAATGACCGTCCTACGGTGGTGATGACAACACCTCTATCCCTCCTCAAGTTCGTGGGCTAGTTCATTTTTGGCAGATAGTCACAGCCATTTCTGAGTTGGCGTCAACGCTAGTCGCTATGTCGAGGCTACAATAACTGGTCCTCAGCTTCGAGTAGTCTCACATGCAGGGGAACCAGGCACAAATGACATAAGCCGCATTAGCCATTTCTACCGTATGCGAAGAGCTGAACATTATTTTTAAAAAATTGTTTAAAAACAGTTGTTAGAGGAAATGCAAGGACAAGGGCAAGCAGGAGACCTTCCTCGATTTAGGCTAAGGCCTATGGGAAATCCACATATATAAACACAAAATACAAAATGAACAACAGTGTTGATACTGAGATCCTTGGCTGGTTTAGTCACTTTTGCCCCGTCTTCACTGCTTCCTCTGCTTTCGCTGTGTGACTCCTTGCAATCTCTTGCTGGCATTTGCACCATGGTGGTTTGTGGCTACAAGTATCTTGCAAAAATTTTTAAACAAAAAAACAATCACACACGCTTACAGCAGAGTGGTCCGTACAGCCAGGTGAAGTGGCACATCGTCCAGTGTTTGTCCACTGCAGTGCTGGGCAGTTCCGTTCAGCGTGCAAACGTCTGGAGCTGATCTTCTTGTCGATGTCGTCGTCATCGCTGCTACATGGATGCCCGCCTGACATGCTAGGGCAACGGACAGCCAGCAGACTAGTGCACAAGACTGTCAGGCACAGCATGCAGGTAACAAACACACGGATTTACGTGTGGGCAAGCACATGCATACACACACATGTACACACACACACGAAAAAGCATACACACACACACACACATACACACAAACATACACACACACACATGCACGCACGCGAACACACACATACACACATACACACATACACACATACACACACATACACACATACACACGCACACACACACACATACACACACATACACATACACACATATGCACAAACACACAAACACACACACATACACACACGCACACACACACGCACACACACACACATACACATACACGCACATACACACATACACACAAACACACACACACACACATAAACACACATATACCCGCACACACATACACATACACACAAACACACAAACACACACACACACACATACACACACATACACACATACACACAAACACGCAAACACACACAAACACACAAACACACACACATACACGTTGCTGTATACAATTCACCAAGGAACAAGGAAACTACTTACCCCTATCTGAAATGAGAGGCAAAACTTGCATGAACACTCCGATTTGAGCCAAGATTTGGAAATATGATGGGGACAGAGTGAAGGCAAGCCCGGCACAAGGTCACATGCGGAGAGGTAGCAGCAAGGAAATAATTATACACAGAGGAGGAGGAAGAGAAGGAGGAGGAGGAGAAGGAGGAGGAGGAGGAGGAGGAAGAGGAAGAGGAAGAGGAAGAGGAGGAGGAAGAGGAGGAGGAGGAGATGAAACACCTTACTGCACAACAACAAAAAACAATGCACTTGCCGACATTTTTGTGGAGCATCAATATCGAGCAATCTCTTCCATCGGCCGAAACATTGACTTCAAAACAGAATTTATGCAGTGTGTGATTGTACTTTAGCCAGTTGAATCTGCAAATTCGTTTGTAGGAGGAGAAAGGGAGGGAAGCACAATAATTATATTGGAGGTACACAGCCCTAGAGAAAGCGAGAACACAAGTGTCACCAAAAAAGGACTGTTAGCTGCAAGTGCTGGAGCCCTGGCACCACGTGACCATATATGGATCCTGTATACATACATTTGATACGCAACTGATATGGAGAAGTCGGCTGCTCTGGGTATTCATTCAATGATATTATGCTACTAGTACATACACAAATAGGAGATCCCCCAGATAGGCGTTAGCCTTTGGGTAATCCTGAAATAAAGACTATATTATATTATAGATTAGATATTCAAAGTCGCCCTACCTACTGAATGACTTTGCACTTGACACGATGTGTGTTGGGTGCCTCCTCCCTTACGTTCTATAACCTTTTGCAAGTTGGCCTGCATGCACCCTCGTACTCACCTTTTGTCTCCTTTTGTCACCTTTCATTCCGTTGGCCCGGCTGGGTAGCTACTTGCGCGCCCATATTTGCCATAGCTACCCAAGCCGATTATCTTGCATTCGCCCTGAGTCCTGTCCCTTTGGAAAAACGCGGCCAAGAATTCGAAATTCTGCGGCAAATTCCGCGGGGGTAAAGGGGGTTTTCTGCGGCATTTTCTGCGGTAAAATCACAAATCTGCGGCACTTTCTACAAGTATTTCACCCTCCTCGCAGAGGATATAACAACTACAGTTGTGGCAAGTGAAATCCGACACTTGCCATAGGGGACAGCGCCACAAATGGACACCGATGATGTAATGCACTTCGCCTAATTTGTACTATAGAGCCGTATGCATCCAAACAGATCGAAAGGTCACAGCGTAGATACACACAGTTCACAAATATGGTACACATAAGGAGTATTGGTATCCAATCCCCATTCATTTTTGCCAGCACCTTTTGAACCTTGACTGTGATGAGTACGAGTTTTGTCATCAGACAGATAAAGTTGTATGTAACACATGTACTGTACGAATGCAGGGCTGCAGGGGCTGCAGACTGCATGGTGCAGTCCCTTATGCCAAGTGTTGGATTTCACTTGCCACAAATGTAGTTAGGGTACATGAAGGAGCACTTTTCACACTATCCTTTGAACCGAATGAGAGTGAAAAATCTTGGAGAGACCTGCACTCACCTGCACTGGCAAGGGCAATGTGCGAAAACAGATCGCAAAGTAGTTCATTTTCTACTGCTTTCTGAGTAGCAATTTTACTAATTTACCCTAAAAAATTCAGATTCTGTGGGCAAAAGAGTGGATTCCGTGATTTCTGCGGATGATGGCAATTTCTACGAAATTTGCCGCGGCCGCGGAATCGCGTTTTTCCAAGGGGACATCCTGACTCGAGCTCCCTCTCTCTCTCTTCCATAATGTAGTCGTTTCATTCGTCTTTGTCCCCGTCTCTTCGCCTCCCAGAATAAATGTCGTGCCACCTACCCGTGCCCGTTGTGTAGTAGTACCGTAAAATCCCGCCAGAGCGCCCCGTCTCTCCCTGACTTCTTGTCAGGGACGTGATTTATCGTATCTCGGTCGCAGTCTGTGATGCCGTACTGTACTGCAGACGGGTGCTCGACCCCGTTGGAAGTGTACGCAACAGTGCCCACCCTTTTGACCAGGGATCGCACAAACCCTGAGTTTTGACGGGTCTGTACGACTCGTGGCTCTTGACCTTTCGTCGGTGTACAAGATGGACCAACAGTTTTCGTAGGGTGAGTACTTTTTCATGTAGCACTGAATGCGGCAAATTGGACTCGCCCATCCGCCCCTCCCCACCTTAAGCGTCGAGGAGGTAGGGGCGCTCTGGCGGGATTTTACGGTAGTGGTAGTAGTAGTAGTAGTAGTAGTAGTAGTAGTAGTAGTAGTAGTAGTAGTAGTAGTAGTAGTAGTAGTAGTAGTAGTAGTAGTAGTAGTAGTAGTAGTAGTTGTAGAATATATTTTTTGTGTCTGGGAGTATGCCTCCTCTTTGTATCCAACATGTGTATAGTTTATGTTTGTTAAAGATGGAGCTACATAATAATGTGACACGTAGAGAAATCACGTAGAGAGCAGGTGTTTGGGTCAGAGTTTAAACATGCAAGTCATAAATCTATTGGAAACTGGTGCACATCGGTTTCAAGAGATTTACAATTTTTTATAAAACCTCACCCGTCAACTCCAATGACAGTGTCTTTAGGGGCCATCCGTAATTATCGATCTTTTTCACGAAGAGAAAAAGTTTCGTTCATGGGTGGGTGGGTTGAGGAGAGTTTTGTTATGAAAAATAATGATACAGTAGCTGAAACATCAGCCCATTCTAGCTGTCAAGTCAATATATTTTTCGTTCATGGGGGTGGGTGGGTGGGGGAGGGTCATAACTAAACTTTTTCGTTTCGTGAGAATTATCGATAATTCCGGATGGCCCCTTACTGCGATTCCAATCAGTATTACACCAACATTTTCAGGCATGGCCCATCATTCCAAAAACTTTAATAATTATTGATTTGAATCCCAGCAATTAAAACGAGACTGTTTGGAGTTCAGGTGTGAGGTTTCCTAAAATTTGTAAGTGGCTCCGTTGGAGCTTGGGGACAATAAGACAAGTTTTTGGCTTATTCTGTTTTCAGAAACGTGCTACATTTATCTGTTCCTTGCTTTCACTATTCCGCAAATCTATACGTGACCACATAGGGTACCCTGTAAAAAGGCCTTAGGCCTGTGGGGATTGCCCTATTCAAAATTTAAATAATAATAATAATAATACAAGAGAGAGAGTTGGGAAGCTTTGTCACAACTCCGAGTTTCACGTATCTCTACGATCATCAGGCAACTGATGGATCCAAAACGGGCAGCCAGAACATACCATATTTCCACAAATAGTAGGCCGGTCTACTATTTTTTCAACCTCGCCCTAACCCGGCCTTATAATCGAGGACGGTCTTGTATTCGAGGACGGTCTTTTATTCTTTCAACCCAGTTTGACCCCGGTCTTCTATTTCTCGCCACACAGTTTTACCCCCGTTCTTCCATTTACTTCTACACAGTTTGAGCACGGTCTTCTATTTTTTCCACAGTTTGAGCACGGTCTTCCATTTTTAACACAAGAACAAAGACTCATTTAGTAGGCCCGGTCTTCTAATCGGAGACGGTCTTATATTTTTTCAATCGCCCCCTGCCCCGGCCTTGTAAACGAGGAAGGCGTTGTATACGAGGACGGCCTTTTATTTGCGGAAATACGGTAAGGGGGAGCAAGGTGGGAAATTCCGAGGGGTGTCATAAGCGACGCGTATCATAGCGCAAGAGTCAGGTGCAGGCGTGAAGTTGCCAAGTCTTCGGACTTGGGGCTATGCAGCAGTAGTTCCGGCATAAATGATATAGAATAGAGCTGGGGACAAATGCCAAATCCACACATGCCCACACCACTACACAAACATACACCCACACTCTCTCCCTTTTCTCACATACACATACACTCACACGCGCGTCCGCACACACATTCTCTAAATCTCTCACACACACACCACTTGACTAATAATAATAATAATAATAATAATAATCTGTTGGGTAGCAAGTATATGCTACTGTGGTTTGTCTACTGCATGTGCATCGTCATGCAATACTCTACAGCAGGATAGCCATTTTGGGAGAGCAGGCTGAACACACTGTGGTCTTCACAGACAACTCGCACTTACCGAGAACCTGTGCTGCTAGTAGTCGTAGCCTACGCAGCTCCTCAATGGTTGCAGCTGAATTCAGGACGGACAACGTGCTTGAAGCACTCACTCCCGACATGTACCACGTGTACCAAATCCTGTTGATTGCCACTGGCAAAGGAGGCAACTACATTAAACTATATCTTGCCCTCGGAACAAAACCTCCGTGAAACTGGTGAAAGGACAACGAGCTTCTTTTCTCAGCTGAAACTAATGTTGAAGGGGCCGCGGGAACACAAGTCAAAGAGAAAATAAGAAAACAAAAAGGCAAAGCACGTGGAACGAGAAGCAAAAGGATTCAGTTACCGTATATGGATGTGTGTGTGTAGCAAATTCTGTGGTACACTCGACCTCGCCACCACGCGTATGGACGTCTGCGCACATAATTATGCCATATGAGCTGCATACCGTATTATTGTGTATCAAATGCTGGTACAGTACGAGTACAATCAAGAGTACATAACCCCCGGGGGTTATGTACTCTTGGTACAATGTAACACTGGGAACGTTCGAACAGCAACATGTCGAGATGTTAACAATACTCGTCTCGTATGGTTTTACATGTGCGTTTCAAAATAAAAGCAATCCAGGCGATCCCCGGGCCCCCGGGGAGTTTGCCGTCATGCTGCCTGGAAAATTCAGTGAATTCGAAGAAATATTCCGTGCGAAAGCATGACAAATGATGTATGTATGTATGTATAATTTTTATTTGAATTCGCAAGTACACACGGGCTACAAGCCCAAAGGTGGAGGAAGGAGGAGGACGGTAGCAAAGCAACAGGGAGGACAATTCAGGACCAAAATCAACAATTGCACAAATGTGAGAGCACCTGAGACCGAGGGTACCTGTGGAGCGATAAAATGCCAAGCAAACAGAAGAAAGGAAATCACAAGCCAATACACGCTAAACTGCACTTGAGTTAGAATGAAGGGGAAAAGCGGAGCTCAACAAAATAATAACGTACAAAGTCATAATAAGAAGTCAACTGGATGAGAAGTAGCACAAGCAAACATTATTTCCTGACAACGAGAGGGGCTGTAACTGACATGATGCATAGTAGCAAGCGGGGAGTCGTAAAATACTTTATTTTACGACTCCCTGGAAGCAAGAGTACTTTAGTGGTGATGTACTCTTGGACCTTTCGCATTTGCTACGAAACGAATGCGAAGCGAAAGTTTGATTAGGCTCGTAATCGTTTCGTTGAAAACAGATTTCAGGTTTCGCAAGTCGTCATGCAAATGTGCAACTACGAATACGGCCGCAGGCGCCGGTAGCTTGGCATACGGGTTTTTACACGCACACGTGCATGGATCATGGAATCAAGGGAAAAATGTGTACCTTGCAAAACATGTGTACCTATCCAAATAAATGTGTACCTGACGGATTCGGAGCGTGCCACGAATGAAGAGGCTTCGTGAAAACGAGTTCTCCGCACGGACTCGTACTCTGACGAATCCTCGAACCCAGGTGACGAATCAGCATTCGTTTCGTATCCGTACGCGCACGCGTGGTGCGAAAGGTCCCTAGTATCAAGAGTACATAACCCCCGGCCGGGTGGGGGTTATGTACTCTTTGATAGTAGCTAGCGCTATACTATAGCTAGATTCCTAGAAACTGTAGTAGATCTCCAAGTGTCATAATCGAGTCGGCGTTGCAAGCAAAGCCCGCTGTTGGTCGGAAGCGACGCCCGGAGGAAGAGAATAGGTACAACGAGATTCGCCACTCAGCTTCATCTGCCGTTGTTTGGAGGCTGGACCAGCTCTCAAAGAAGAGAGTTTCAACGGTTACGTTGTTGTTGTTTATCTTATTTTACTTCAGCAAATGAAAAGGCATTCCTTGGACTGGCACGCCTCTTGCCCAGACCAGTACGGCTCACTACCTCGGAGTCACTCTGGACGAAAATCTTCGCTGGTCGCCGCAAGTCACCTCTATCGTTCGACTCACAGTTATGGAGCTGCGGATCCTCCGCTAGATTCGACACTGTCTAACAGTGTGGTAGGCCATGCTGTATTACTCTGCCCGGCTTGTCACACCGGACATTCTATATGCGTCGAATGCGTTTCTCCCAGGACTGTCCGCTGACCAGCGGAACACAGTCGCCAAACTAGATAAAGGTTGCATCCGTTGCGTGGCCGATGAGCACCCATTGGCCCACACTCTTCCCCTGTACACCATGCTGGGAGTCTGCCCAGTGCTGGAACGAGGGGAATGCAAGCTCCAACTCCTGACATTTCGAATCCGTTCTGGAATCGTCAGTGAGCTGTTGTCGTCCCGAGTTGTATTGCAAGGCCCTTTTTCTGCTCGTCTTGACCCTGTCTCCCCTGCTACTTCCATTTTCGCACTTCGTACTGAGTCCATGTGCAATTCTAGTTCTCGAGCCTCCTCAGCTGTACCTGGCAAAGGCAGTTCTTTTGGAACGAGCTCTTTCCCCCCGATAGGCTATGCCTGTGGGAAATCCTTAAATAATAAAATAAAAAGGCGACGTGGAGACAATAGTCTTAATAATGCAATGAATATAACTAAATGCGCACTAAATGCGCACAAATTGCATTTGTTGTCTAACCCCGTGTGTCGTGAAAGTTATGATGATTCTTGGTTCAGTGTTGTTCGTTCTGCAAGTACTTTCAAGCAGTTGAAAGTTCTAGAAGCAGTCTACATTCGCATTCGTGATCCAAATCTTTGTAAACAAAAAGAAAATGTCACCGCACTTACGCTCTTCCAGTAAATTCGCACTCACACACACTTGCACATGCAATTGTCCATTGTCACACTGCACTTGCTGAATTTCCTATCATTTCTCTTCTCACCTATAGTTTATTACCTGTGCAAATTGTTCCTAGGTTTGTGCTATTTTTCTTACTATGCTTGTATCCTCGCTGTTTTACTCCAAGTGTATAAATCCTTTTGTAGTTTCATCATTCTCTTTAGTCACGAATTCCATTGATAATTGTGACAAGAAAACGATCTGGAATACATTATTCGTCCCCATGGTTGTGATATGAGTGCACATTTAGTTATATTCATTGCATTAATAAAATATAAATTTGTTTATAGCCTTAACCATTTCTCCGGATTTGTGTAACTGCCTCGGTTGGGCATGCTACATGCATGGCTTGTATACCTTTACCTGTTCACATTGCCACAATCATAAGGTCTTTATGTAGGAACGAGTCAAGCAAATGTACATTGTATATTAATAATTATGTAGCATTAATGCTAAAGGTCAGGCACGTAGCGCTGTATATCAAATTTCGCAAACAAAGTAGTTAGAGTTTGCCGTACCATGTCCGCGAAACGTGTGAAACGGCTAGACTGTGCGGTTTTTGGTCCAACTTGCTGATCCCTACCATTCGAGGAATAGAAGCATGCTTGTTTGCAAATCCAGATGTCGGAGCCTCCAGCGAAAAGTTTGTAAGAAGAGGCCGATAGTACATGTAAGTCAATATCAAAGGAGAATTATTATTATTATTAGACACAATCTCATAGCATGTGACAAGCATAGCTAATGCAGGGACAGAATCCCCTGAGACAAGGGCGTTGAGCCAGCCACGGCAATAGTAAGCTAGGAAAACAAAGCAAATAATTATGAATTAAAGCAGAAAATGAATGGAAAATTACAAAGAAAAACGATTAACGGAAGTGAGCACTATCAAAATTCGTGCATCACCCAGGTATTCGAGAATGTTCTTCGATGATAATTATTGCGTCTAGTTCAGTTGTGATAGTAGATCTTTAAACTGACCAATAGAAGAACAAGTTTTCAGACCGTATGGTAATGATAACCAATGAAAGTAGCCGGAAAACAAAGGGGACTTTAGATACTGGGCTGACTTAACAAGAGGCAGGATGAGCGCGTTACGGGTTGAGCTTGTCGAAAAACAATTGTACTTCATCATGTGTGAAGGGGTTTTATGAAGAAATATTTTATGAACCAGTGTACAGAGATGGTGCTTGAATGATGTATGGACTGCTGAATCAAACTCATTGAATTTTCTCACTTGCAGGTCTCCGCAAAAATTCCAAGTAAAATATGCTGGCTGAGCCACTATCCTTGGCTGCAAAAATGAAAATAGCCTTAGGGTGAACACATGACCTTCCGAAGCAGGCTGAAAAGGGCTACACTACGCCCCTGGAGGCGTTACGTGTCTACACAATCACAAAGTTTTGTGTCGGTACAATGCATAGTTATGGTTGCACCTCATGACCATGACTGTAGCTGATTGCTGCGAAAACCTGGGATTTCCCGATATTATCCACTATTATTATTCTTCACACACAGCCGCCTGATGAGTACGCGTGGCCCATGCACCATGGGGACCCACGAATACAAACCAGCATATGTTCCCTCAGCAATACAAGCAAGCAAGCACGCAAAGATAAATGAGAGCCCAGGCAGCGAAAACAAAACGAAGAGAGATGAGGACATAGGCAACGAAAACAATTCCAAAGCATAGCCAGGGATTGAATGTGTGCATCTGGGTACGACAGTTAATACGGCTAGTGCAGCCGTACAGAGCGCAGCAGCACGAAAATACAAAAGTGCCACAGCAGCCAAAAGTGTGCAAACACTAAAAAAGAAGATCAGTCCATGAAAAAATTATTGTCGCCACAGGTAGACATTTCCGGCAGGAATGCATGCGTGCGCACGAGTAGGCAGGCAAGCATGTCAGAGGTTATTATGGCCAAGCTAATTAACAGTGCTGTTTCGCAATGAATTCCATCGGCATTTTATCATGCGCCACCTTCCGAAGCTGGGCTAGGCCAGGTCGCGACAGAAGCACAAGCCCCAGCTTCTCCCGACAATCCAGTGAGAGAGTGGTTGGTCTGCCTATCCTTCCCCGCAAGGCACCAGAAGCAGTAAAATCGAGAGCGAACTGTGGCGGTGCTCCTATTATCCACTATGAAACTCGTTATGCCGCTCGAACCTCACATAATGCTCGTTTTCTTCCTTTCTAATGCTCTGATGCTCGGATAGTCTTATAATGCCGAATATAGTTCTGGACATGACAACAAGCCATTTCGACATCCCTAGGACGTGGTCTTTCCACCCATGCAAAGCTCAGGTTGTCTGCTTGAGACTGAAACGGGACATGCAAAACAACGTCTTTTAGATTTGGGACGCAGGACTATACTCAATGTTCCAGCTTTGTGACACGGGAATGGCACGAGAAACCGCTACAGAAAGGTCAGTTGGTGACAGAA